TGCATGTTGGTGCTGATGGTTGGAAGAAAATACTGTATTTGATACTGAACCAGAAATAGCCCCCAAAACTTTCAAAGGCAAATGTGCAAAGGCCGTGTGCTGAACACGAGAAGTCAGGTTTGTCTTTATTCCTCTGATTTGCAAAAATGCCCGTTCCTGTTGCCACATGTAGTGAAGAACTGAAACAGGGCGCAGGGGCAGAACCTGGCTGTCTCATTTGCCTCCCATGCAGCCCTCTCAGTAGCCACAAATTCATCCTATGAAAGAAAAGCCGCAGCTGATGCTTAGGTGATGCCACCACCACTTATCCAGCTCCTTCCCTAGAGGAGAGAGGAGCAGGGTAAGGCCAGGGCAATACCATGCTCTAGCAGCTGAGTCAATGGAAACCCCCCAGGCGCTGTTTTTGGACTGTGTGGAGGTGCTCGCACAGCGTGAGCCCTGGCCAGCTCTGGCGTCGGTTGGGAGAACATAATCACAAAGCAAAACCCTTTTTGCCTCTCCCTTTGGGCTGGGAAGTAGCTCAGGTGCGAGTGGGAATGGGTAATTCCGAGTCATCAAAGAAACCTGAATGACCTTCCAGTAAATCAGCAAAACCGGGAAGGTTTTGGGAAAGAAGGATGGCTAGTGGGGCTTGGCCGTGTGCCGTGGGGAGCCAGCCAACTCTGCCATCCATGCTGGCACACAACAAGCCTGCTTCCACTTGTTGCCAATATCCGAAAAACAAGTGGTGGGGCCAGCCAGCATCAAAAGCCACTCCATTTCCTCCTCCACTTATTTAATTATTAAAGACGAATAAGAACCAGCTCGTACATAAAGAGCAACAAAGAAAAACAAAATACTTAAGAACTGGCAGCCAGGCGCAGCAATAAGTCATGGCACCAGCCTCTGAAACGTCCCCAGTTGTATAAATAGGATCCTCCATGGGAATCTCCAGGATAAATCCCTTATGTCGAACCACAGCACACCATGCTGGAAGAGGAAGAGCATTGTGTGCTGTGACATGAGAAAAATGACATTTAAAAAAATCATTAAACAAAGCAGTCACAGCACATATAGTTTATCTAAGAGCACTTGTGTCAGAGCCTTCACCCATCCTATGGTCAACCACTGCCTATGGACGGGAATTCAGCGAGCCTTGGCAGACCTATAATAAAGGCCTTTTGCTGTACTAGTAATAACAATGAGTCCAAACACAAGTTTGACCCATCAAAATTTTAGCTGCATCTAGATTTTGTGGGCTTCATGGGATTTGTTTCTTTTCTTTGGTTAAGGCTCCAACCACCAATGTAACACCTGAAGAAAATAAAAGGACAGCAACCAGGACAGTCAGGTTCTCAACCTCAGCAGGCTGATTGGAGACCTCATTCCAGGTACCTCCATGACTTTGCTACAGCTGGGAAATTGGTACGGTGTTTGATGTGGGAGAGCCCCACAGAACTGCTCCCCATGCCTGTGGAGGGTTACTGGCTCAGTGGTCCATGACCAACTCTGTGCCTGCTGCACACCCCAGTGGAGATGCCACTGTTGGCAGTGCTCTGGGGCATCACCAGGGCTTTAAATGCTATGGCAGTGCAAACACACAGAAAATAACTTGATGCCCAGCCACCAAGTGAGCAGCCAACCACATCCAGTGCGCAGGCACTGCAAAATGAAAGACAAGAGAAAACAAAATAAAATAGGAAAGTGTGTAGGGACAGGCCAAGGGGAATGGCTTGAACCTGCCAGAGGGGAGACTGGGATGAGCTCTTAGGCAGAAGCTCTTCCCTGTGAGGGTGCTGAGGCGCTGGCACAGGGTGCCCAGAGAAGCTGTGGCTGCCCCATCCCTGGCAGTGCTCAAGGCCAGGTTGGACACAGGGGCTTGGAACAAGCTGCTCCAGTGGAAGGGGTCCCTGCCTATGGCAGGGGTTCAACTGGAGGAGCTTTAGGGTCTTTTCCAACCCAAACTATGCTCTGATTCTATGCATTTAAGGAAAGCTGGTGTGCGTAGGAAGCTTTGTCCACAGTGGAAGTCCCGGCGGTCCCCAGTGAGTTGTCCCATGGCAGTGGTTGGGAATTGTTATCAGGCCACTAGGAAAGAGAAAAAAAAAAAAGAAAAGAAAAAAAAAAAACTTTAAAACCATGCTCAACATGTACAGCTGCTGGAACATCTGTGCTGAACATGATGACACAAGCTGCAATCGTGGCAGTTGGGGAGGGGGAGGCAATAAGGAGAGGTGAGGGAAGAGGGTAAATGCAATCCCTGAGTGTATGGTCCCGTGTGGGCTCTGCCTCAAGAGCCCCATGCTGCAGCCTTGGGGTGCTCCCACCTTTGGGTGCCTCAGCACCTCTGCCTGCAGTGGGGCAAAGCTCCTTAAATCCCACTGCATTTCATCTCTGTGCCACCTCCCCTTGCCTTTGAATAGCCAGAACTGCCCTGGGGTGACAGAGGCAGATCCTTCACCTCCCAGTGTGGGCTCTGCCATCAGTTATTTAACTCAGGGTGATTAAGGGAATTGAGAGT